GAAGTTACTGATTTCTTTATATATCTATAATTCTATTTCATATCTTTCGTTATGTTCACAAAAATATGATAAAATATTACCTAAATCCGTAATCTAATACTAATTCTGAATAATCTAATTCTGAATAATCTAATACTGAATCAATATATCATCTTTAATAAAAAATGATAAATTTCGAAAATATGCATTAACAATAAGAAATATTGGTTTTCATTTGAAAATTTAATTATGATTTTTTGGGACAAAGAAACAAAATCAAATAAATAACTAATATCTTACAACTATTGTCTGAAATATTTTTGTATACTTTCCAGATTCTTCAAAATATTTAACTGTTTCCATTTAAACAGTATATATGTAAAAAAATATATTATACACAAAATACATTAAGTTGATTAAAGGCAGCAAGAAGGCAAAATAGAATAAAAGTAGCATGTACTTTTCTACAATTTTTATAAATTAGAGTAGTTTGTAGACTACATATCTATATATATAACATATATAAACTGATTCATCTAACATTAGAATTTAACATGTTTTTCGTTAGTTCTACTAGAAAATATTTAAAGAAAAAATATTTATTATTTTAAAAGAGTAAAGGTAAGAGAAAAGGTGAAATTTTCTTTTTGACGTGATCATATTGTTTTATGCTCTACATAACATAACAAAATAAAGACAAAAACATTCGAATATGACCAGAAAACATAAGTACTTAAAACTTACTACGGTATTTATAGGAAAAAGAGTAAGAAATATATGTATATAGATCATATCAATAAAATTAAGAAATAATTCACTGATACATACATGAAATTTACTGTAGCTACAGATTTGTAAGTCACTAAGCATCTAAATGAGTACTGAAAAATTATTTACTCAATTTTCACATGATATTGTGGATGTTAAACTCAATTAATATTAACAAAAAAAGAATATTAACCCTTTCGGTACAAGCGCCGGATATATCCGGCGTCCATCTGATGACCTGTATGGCCGAGCGCCGGATATATCCGGCATCCATCAGATGACCTGTGTGTACTTATATAATTCTAGTGTTACTTGTATAATTAACAGAATTTAATATGTCTTTTAATATTAAAACTAACGACATTTGTTAGAAGAAACATTGTTTTATTAAGCAGTTCTTATTTAACGCTAAGGAAAATCTTTATACACAAGAGAAATGACCACGCGCGCTCTCGTACCGAAAGGGTTAACTATTTGACTTTGATTTTATTGAACTTTTATTAAATAATAGCATCTAAATGAGCACTGAAAAATTATTTACTCAATTTTCACATGATGTTGTGGATGATAAACTCAATTAATATTAACAAAAAAAGAATATTAACTATTTGACTCTGATTTTATTGAACTTTTATTAAATAATAGATTTCAAACGATATGTATAAAATGTTAGACATAATTACTTGATAATATTAAACACATGATAAAAACAATGTGCTACTTAATATGCATAAACAAACATTACATTGTATTAGCAACGTTTGTAAAATGTATTAGCAATGTTTGTAAATTATATTAGTTTATAAATTAGAAATACTGTATTAAATTATTGCAGTAAATTATTTTTTTATATCTTTGCTATAATAAAATATTATTTTGTTATTGTTATATTGATTCACTATACTTTTGAGAAATAATAGAAAGTATTATAAAAAAATTACACTTTAACATTATTAATAAAAACTAGAAAATTTCAAAGCTGTAGTTTCGAAAAGTGCGAATTCTTGATCGATATGAAATTTTGAGAGTAGAGAGGAAAGACAGCAAGCGAAGACGTCAAATATAAAATTTTAGTTTCAAAATATAAAATTTTTACTAGTTTCCGAGAAAGTTTGTACAGACTGTTTGTAAATTTTGTAGAATTTATAAACTTTATATACTTTTGTAGAATTTATAAACTTTATATACACTTTATATACTAACTATAATTTATAGAATTTATATACTGAAAGCTTTTTATTAATATCGAAAACTAATAAAACCCCATAATTAAAATTTTATATTTTTTATATTTTTTTTTTATATTTCCTCCTCTTCCCCCAAATTTCATGTCCATTGCAAAATTGATGCTTCTCGGAATAACCAATTTCAATACTACAAGCATTTCTCACAAAATTGGACATGTTTACTGTTATGATTGTGATTTTTGTTATTTATATTTTTTGTGCAACATCGTACATAACATAAATCAATAATTATCTACTATCTATAAACTAGATTCGTATTGATAAATCAACTGACGAACTTTTTTTCTGTATTTTATATTTTTCATGTTCAAGATCTGATCTCATCCCTAAATATATAAATGTTTCCGGAATTCAAGAAAGAAATAAAGAGCATCAGTATTTAACATGAACATATCGATCATAACGTAACATTTTTATTCGAGTAATAAATTGTGATAAAAAATAAATTATTTCGTAATGGCATATGATTACTAAAATAATTTCTTGGTTTTAAAATAAATCTTGATTTTGTATCCTTGGAATACTATGTAGACACTTGTGTGTCACAAAAAGTATAATTATAATATGTATATATTACCACAGACGAGATATATCTAATATATGTAATGTAATGTAGAGTTAATATGTAACAAATAGACATTGTGTTTTAATTACTTCATTGTTCATAAATAATGTAAGTAAAATGGAAATAAAATTTTGTTGGGTGATTTACTAATTTATATAACCATTAATGCAATTCAAAGTGATATAAACATAATATACATGTAGTATTTTCATTACATGTTCACTCTAAGAAAATTAAAAAACTACAAAACTAAAAAATATACAAATTTGAAAAATATATTTAATCCTATTAATTAAAAATCCCATAACGCGGATTTTAATTTGCCCCTGTAGATTTCATTTTGAAATATCGAATCAACTTAGGATTTTAAATTTGTTAGAATTTGTATGAAGTAAGATTTTATTTAATAAGAAAACAGAAAACATTCAAAGATTCCTTTCTGTACAAGTACATGTGTAGATATGCGTGAGTGCATATGTTTTGATATTTTTTGTTATCAATCCTTACTAGACAAATAGTATACTAATGTAGTAATGAACATTACTAATATGCACAGTCAGAAATATTGCAAAGATTTTTAGATTAAAATTAAATTGTTAATAACTTTTATCTGAATTTTCGAAAAATAATAAATTGTATAAAACATATCCAGCAATAATAGAAAATAATAAATAATAGAATCGTGCAGAAGATAAAATTGATAAGTAACTACAATTTGTTAACTAAACATGCAAAAAAAGTACGTTTTGTAGATAACAAAAGCATAAATAATGTAAAGAAATCAAACAGAAATATACAATAATTTAAATATACAATATAAATATGCAAATAATTTTCGTTAATTGATTGTTATAAATTTATTATATAGAAAAAAATTTTAATCTTCAATCTTACAGCATCTCACATCTCACTATTCTACATCATGTTTATGTAAGTTCAATAATAAAACTCAAAAATTATTAATATATTATTGGAAGCTGAATATAAATGTCATTAGGTCTAAGAAATTGTAATGCCATTAAAAAATATTTATTAGTGCTTTTAAAATAAGGAAATATGTGTAATTATATTAGAAATTAATGTAAAATTATTAAAATTTCAAAATTTTAATTCATGGATTACTGCTGTTTCATCACTGTGAAATTTCATAAACATTATTTTTTTACTATATATTACAATTTTAAAAAGTGATATAACAAAAAATCTTGAAAAGACGTTTGAATTTTTTACTAGGATAAAAATTAATGTATTAATAACTAAATTAAATGCGAATGATAATTACAGAACTATATATTTAGATATATTAGAACTATATACTAGAAATATGATAGTTCACAAATATAAAAGCTATATAGAATATCAAAATAGAAATATTATATATATAATCAAAAATAATCAAACATAAGGTAACAATTATACAATTATATTTTCGATATTGACACATGCTCATAATAAATATGCTATAAATACTGTATGTGCTTGAATTATTTTCTAATTTTGCTGATATAATTTTTCTATATACGACTTTCTTCCTGCTATATATATACATTTATACGTATTATATTATTTTAAACACATCAGTGGTTATAATTAATATAATCGCTTCTCTTCTATTATCTTTGGATACGAATTATTACCAAGAAGATCATCATAATTAAAATATCATAAAAAATAAATTTATCTTTTCTGTATTATAGTTATAATATTTTAATACGCGAAAAAATATCTTTGCCTTTTATAATATTGTTAATATTTGTCCTTTTGAAATAAATATTTTTCCTTTAGATAGTTTTCTGTATCACTGAATCTAACAAGAAATATATTAGATGTTAGATGACTAATGTTAGATGACTCAGTTTATATATTAGTTTTTATTGACATGGAGTAAGTATCGAAAGAGAAGTTATAAGACAGACATAGAGTAAATATCAAAAGAGAAGTTATAAGTTACAAGAAGAAATAATTACAAATACAAAAAAAATTTAGAAGACTTACCATAGGTTTAAATACATGACTGTTTCTTTGTGATGCAGCTTGACCACCAGAACCTCCACTACCACCTCCACTAATAAGAGGTTGATGATTAGATGGCGGTGTCGAAACTTTATGAGGTTGTCGTGGATCATCTCTAGGTGTTGGAGGCAATGGTCGAGATGGTGGTTGTGGATCTGGAACTACTATACGATTCAAAAGTAATTACGTAATATTTAAGGCAATTTATTTATGACTTTGCATAAAAATACTAATGACAATAATACACTGTGAAACCTACCGATTAATCTATGTGGTATAGCAGGACGTGCAGGTGGTCCTGGTTCTGGTATATCTCTTTGAGCTCTGCTACTTGGTTTCTCTTTAGCAGCGGGTGGTTGTGGGTTTACTTCTTGAGTTAAAGTCCTACCTTCCTGAATTTGTTGAAAGTTTCTACGCAAAGTATCACCACCAGGTGCTTGAACAATGGATGACGCTTCACCAGCTAATGCTGGTTCATCTTCCTCATTCTCACTACCACTATATCGGTAATCGTCTCTTTCTACATGACCAAATACAGATAATATAGAATGATTAACAAAGATTCAGTTCAGGAATTGCTTGTTTCTCGAGCTTTCATACCTTTCTCCTGTTTACGTTTCTTACAGCGATCAATATGATCTTTAAGCTGTATCCTAACTTGTCTTTCGGTTGGTTGGTCCCGAATAAACGGATGTTTAAGAAGCTGCTCTGTATACGGCCGTTGATGATAATCTTTTACTAAAACCGTTTCAATAAAACCGTGGAATTTCTTCGCCCATTTTTTCGATTTGAGTCTTGGTGGCGGATTACGTGGGATCAGAAATAAAGCCTTTTGTGTGAATTAAGCATAATTAAATTTCACCCTTTAAACAACTTAACAATGAATAATTAAGGAGATTCATATCTATTTCAAATACCCACCCGCATGGGATGAAGGTCACAAAGTGGAGGTTGTGATTCAGCCATTTCTAAAGCGGTAATTCCCAATGACCAAAGATCGCTTCTATTATCGTATGTAGCATCAGGATTTTCATCACAGGCTATTACTTCTGGTGCCATCCAATATGGTGTTCCAATAAATGTATTTCTTCTACCTATTGTCCGATCTAATTGTGCACTAACGCCAAAATCAACTACAACATAATAGGATAAACGATTGATTAATTCTTTAAACCGATTTTATTCCTTATATCGAATTCAAATATTATCCAAGTGTTAGTTTTTATCCAAGTGTACATTAGCCGTCGTTTTATATAACACAATTTTTCAATTACGTAGTTTTTTGAAAATATCATAGATTTAATCAAAATAATTCTCATATCGGTTTTTAAATGCAGTTTCATTTTATTATTGTTGTTATTATTACTATTATTATTACATATTGTTATGTTATAATTTCTTCATTTATAAATTTCCTTAAAATAATTTAGAAATGGAAGAATTACTCAAGTGAAAAACTTTTTTCAAATAATTTAAATTTCTAGGAAGTTCTAAAATAATTCATATGAGAAGTTCATACAAAGAAAATCATACAAACATTTTGATATTAACAATAATAATAATAATATAATAATTACAATAATGAAGTTTCATATTCTTATTATGAATTTTCTTAACAATAAGTAAATACATATACATAACGATAAGAAAGAAAATTGGAAATGGTGATATTGGCGCCAAAAATCAAATTTTTCAAAAACGATATTTCACATCAACGAAATATTACATTTTAATTAAGATAGAGAGTATTGAAAAACATACCAAGTTTAACTTCCGCATTATCAGTTAACAAAACATTTTGTCCTTTGATATCCCTGTGTATAACCTTATTGCTGTGAAGATAACTAAGACCTCGCAATATCTCCCGTGATATATAAGCAATCCATTCTTCTTTTAAACTCTGACCTTTAGTTGACTTGACAAGATCTGTAACGGAGCCAGCTCCGCAATATTCCATAACCAACCACAACTGATCATCTTTCCCTGGTGATGACTTCTTCACGAAGGCACCATAATATGTTGCTATATTTCTGTGATTCGAATACTGCAAAAATTCGTTAAAAAGCAAATCATTTCATTTAATTTTTTTTTAATTCTGCTTACTAGTTTACAAGTGAAAATCGATCATAGGAATGTACTCACCCTTTTTAATACATTTATTTCTAATTTGATTTCTTCCTCTTCGTCCTGAAAATAAATAATAACAGATTGAGTATTTGCAACGCATGTATAGTTTATAATTAACTTTTTAAGATTGATATTTAAGTATAATTATTACACACTTGAAATGGTTTTTTGGATATTGAACAGTTGACTCATTTTAAACAAATACAAATATAAATATAATATTACATAAGAATGTATTTCTAAAATTGTATTTTTAAAAATATTTATATTTAAAAAAATTGATATTCTCTAAACTATTTATTGAATTATTTCAAACCATGAAAAATGATCAAAAATGATCAAAAAATCATCAAAAATGATTTTAACATTGTGCTCGGTTATTTAATTATGTATAATAACTGTAATTTGTGATCAATATAAGAATTAAATTTTAGAATTGTTTTCCAAAAGAAATGTAGAATTTCAATTCATGATTCCTTTAGTTTTCGTGATGAATACAAATTTTATCTTGAATTTCAAGATCAAAGGTTAAATTTATGGTACGTTTCTTTTTGACCTTCACTGATTCAAAAATTATAATATTCACTTTCTTAATATATAATAATACTTCACAATATAATCAATAAAACAGATTTATATGATTAGTACAACTAATAAGACAAAAAATGAAAGTATTTCGTTTGTACGTATTTATATATGTATTATATAAATATTTATTTGATGAATTGTATGTTGAAATAAAAGTCTTTGATACATACAATTATGTATACTAGATTGTATACTAAATTTAATATTTTTAATTCAAACAGAGAAATTATATTAAACTAGAAACTAGACTAAAACTTATTATGTATCGATTTTGCGGTACATTGCAAATTAATAAAAACTAACTCATTATATTAAGCAGAATACTATTATTTAAGAAATAATTGTAAATTGATCGAATTTGAAAATAACTATGAGATAAATTTTAAAATAATAACATGCATTTTAAAAAAAATGAAAACCGAACACGAAGACAAAAAATAATTTAAATTAATTTAATAATAATAATAATAATAAAAATAATTTAAATTAATTTAATAATAATAATTTAAATAATCTTTATTACCACGTTTCTCTCAAATGTGTAATATATTTCAAAAATGTTGAAATAAAATATATATTTGAAATAACTATTAGTTATTATTTTTTATTTTATTCCTAATAAAATACGCTCAAGCTTATTTTCGGTCACTGATAATATTAATACAAAGGACACACACACACACACACGCACGCACGCACGCACGCACGCACACCTTTTAATGTTTTTAAATATACACATGTTACATATTCTTTTAAAATATTCAATTATGTGATGTAAAGAAAGTTGTATGAAACAAAAACGAAAATTTCACAATCAAGAAAGTATCGACACGCTTGTGATTTAATAGAAAATACATCGTAATTTTATTCACTACATACAAAATATGTGTTTAATATTTTGTGCGCATTTTGACATCGTAATCGATTTGGCATTTTAAGAAAATTCTAAAGAAATTTTTGATCTTTTTTCTAACAATACCATTTTCAAATCATTTCTATTAAAATTTTTCCATCCCAACTTTTAAATCTAACAAATACCACAAATATTCAATTTGTGGATTTATGTTTAATGGTGGAATGCAAAATTGTTTGAATATTAGTATTATGAAATAGTCACTCTCTTATCTTTTTAGTCATATGCATAAAATTATTGACGCATTAATGAATTATCTCGCAACATATCTATGAAACTCTAAACATGTAGTTCTATCGACAATTGCACAATTTCCTACTTCATTGTATTTCCTACAACATGCTCCAAACCAAATATCTTTCTATCAAAGCTAAAAATATTGAATTTACTCTCATCACGAAATAGTGTAGTTTATAATAAAAATATTATATATGTAAAGACATTTTAAAATGTGCCAATAATTTTTTGTTTCACTATAGAGAATGGATTAGGAAATGTAAGAATGGAAATGCATTTCCACTATGTATATGCATTTCCTATCCATTATATTATCGCGTATTCTTATTCAGTAAATACTTATATACTTATATACCCTGACAGTATTAAAAAAAGATGTGTCAGATTAATTAAATTTGTGTACGTTATATTTTTCTCAACTATAATCTAATTGATAACATATTTTGTAATAATTTTTAAAGATTAATAGTTGATTAATTGTTAATTAGTCGATTAATAGTTTAATAATTCATAATCTATGACGACATCTTACAGTAGTCTTTAAAGTTAAAATAAACTATTTTAATACTTACGAGGTTTCTTTTTTTTAGCATATTTCACATAAAAATATCATTCCTAAGTAAAATTATCAGATTTCACTACTTTATCTCTTACATTGTTTATCATTTCAATTTCTCCATTAGAACAAACAAAAAATGAAAGGATTCAAATGAAATTATTTAAATACATCCCTTTATTTTTAAAAAATATTAATAATTTTTTTATTACTTAAATTGACCACAAAAGAATTTATCTATTTAGTGCTCTACATAATTATATACAAAAACATGAAATTAAATCTTTACTATATAAATTAAATCTTTGCTATGTATATTATACAAACGGAAGAAAATTTAAACACAAGATAATTTAAAATTTTATAAAATATAAATATATATATATATATCTACATTTGAAATTTTTTAAATTAATATTTAAGGATCTTTTAAATCTAATTATAGTTTCTAATTAAGTATTGATATTACTATTTTTTCTGTAATTATTTTTTATGATTGTTTTCTGTAATAGTTTTCTCTAATGGGTTAGAACTTGTTCCTATCCCGAAAAACTGCTATTTTAGCTTCTGAAAATTTTTAGAGAATTAGAGATTCTTAATCTTCCTTTAATTTAAATTCATAAATATTAAATATAATGAATTTTAATAATTATTTTTATTAAAATTCATTATAATTATTTTAATAATTATTATAACAACATAATAAAATGTTATTTCATCATATTTAAATCTATAATATCATCTCAATGAATATATCGTTGTTAATTGTTGTATAAATTAACATATTCGTAGTACAGCTGTTCTGTTATACTTACATACTACTATATGTTCGTAAGAAAAATAGAACACAAAGTTTCGAAGTTTTTTATGCATGGCTTCCATATATATCTTTTAAAATTTTCCATCGTTTTGCATAACAGAACTATATATTTTCAATTCTTAACTATTTTACTATTTTACTATGAAATTTTTGAAATAAGTTCAACAATTCAGAATTCATATTACATCAGAATACATGAGAGCTAAATAAATATTTTGTGGATTTCATAGATTTATCTTTATTCGATATAGCTACGAAATTTTGTTGTATACAAATCCACTAAATATTACATACTACAAAAAAA